TGGTTCCCTCCGACCCTCCTTTCTCAATGACTGCACGATGCTCCAGCGTATAACGCGTCCTGCTATCATTATTATCGTACGCGGCTATTATCGTTGTTATCGCCGCTATCATCATTCCCCCTTTCTGCCTTATCCGCGTATATACTTTATATTGCGCAAGTCGTAAACGGAACTGGAGAATAAGAAACATGGGCTTTTCTCTGTCTTTTTCTGTCACAATTAATAACAGACTCTAATGTAGCTAAAAACTTGTCTCTTTTTCCTTTGACATACATTATCATTTATAAAAAATTATTTGTTATTAAGAAGTATGGTGGTATATACTGTGCCCTGGTCGAAAGCATCATATTTTTATATATTTTTTTATGAATTTTCAATTTATTTTAATTCAAAGTCATAAAATTTTTAATTATCAAGTTCTTTCTTTCCTTTTTCACAGAGTAATTAAAAATTTCTTCAGTAAAATCATCTGAGAGAAATATATTTACATAACGGGTGCATGACACGCGGGAACTATTCGCTTACTTTCTTCAGCCTTCCCAATATTATCGTGAGAGACATTATTATTGAAATTTGCAGTTCAAATGCTGCGGTGCCTTGAGATTCGAGGACTGGCTCGTGAGCGAGTGGCATAAGGATGAGGAGGTCCTCAAGAACGGCAGCGTCGTACCTGACAGCTGCTGCAAGACGCCGACGTTACTTTGCGGGAAAAGGGATCATCCCTCCAATATTCAGTACACGGTATGTCTGCTGCGACTTTAAACTTTTTCTGCTTTCCTTGACTGATTATCAGATGTGACATTAGCCTGTATTTGAATTCAATTTATTTTCTTAGAAAGAAAGGAAATATAAAAATCTTTTCCTATAAGGTATGACATTATTATAAGATATTATTAAAGGCTAAAAAATGTAAAATTGAAAATTTGCGGGTTTATACCTCTGACTTATAGTTCCTGACTATATTATAATATTAGAACGCACGGATTTTTGATAGATTTGTCTTAAGTGAAATGACAACTATTTTTACTTTACCTGTCTAAAAGTGAATTTCCCCTTTTGTTATTAATATTAAAGTTAATATTAATGTTACAGTTATATTTTTAGTTTTACTTGCATCCATCAAAAATTTTTATGAAAAAAGATATTACTCCTATAGAATTGCGTTTTAATGCAACCCGAGCACGCCAAGTTTTTTTTTCTTTTTCTATGATCCTGTTGATCATTTTAGTCAATCTATCTTATGTATCTTGCGTTATGAAATACTTGGCTAATTGCATTTATTTCGTTATATATCCGTTTTTTTAAAAGGAATGTAATATTCAATATCTTTTTTATGCACTTGGCGTACATTTTTTCTTTTTTAAAGATGTTTTTTTTTAGAGATAGTAATATTAAGTAATGTTTAAATTAAGGTTTACTATGCCAAATAAACAAATAAAACAAAATTTTTATTAAAAAAACAAAAAACCTACTTTATTATCGCCTGTGCAACTGTTAATAAGTTTATCACAGACATTGTAAGTGTTAAGTAAATATCGTATTAAAACAATTCATATTTTAGTGCAGTTTAGTGCAGCGACAAAGAACAGGTCTCATATATTTTATTCTTATATATTTTATTACGACAATAATAAAGATCACAATATAAATTAAATCCCTTAAATTTCATCTCTTTAACTCAATAAATTATAAAAAATAGAATTCTTCTAATATAGCCAAGGACTGTAATTTTTCAGAATAAATATCGACGCGAATAAATAATCTTCTCCAGCAGAAGTATGTAATTTCTACATAAGATCGATAAATATCTGTCATTTTAGGGCTGCATTTATAAGTTCCTGGAAACGACAAAGGACCACCTGATAATCCTGGGCGCTGTCGGGCTCGGTCTGTCTGTCCTCGAGCTCTTTGGCATCGTTCTCGGCTCCTGCCTCTATATAAAGCTCAGGCACGATTTTGATGACTGAGAATTGCTTCAATGCCCCGAGGGCAACAATAACGGTCAGTCGTGGTGCAGATACATGCAGAACAATCCGGAGACCGTTTGATCGTCGGAGTAGGGGCAGGAGGACGCGCGATTACAGCCGCGGGATCGTACGGATGAAAGGGAATCATCTTCAACCGTGGACTCTCGTTCGCCACTCCCTCCCCCTAACGCGTTCAGAAAGGTATCAACAAGTGAAAATAGAGGTAACGATAAAGAAACGGTGCCGTCTTCGTCGATCGTTACCTCGCTGCCCGCGAACTTTACGCAAATTACGTGATTACAGACAATCAAAGAGAGAAGCGAAAGTTCAAAGGTAAAAACGCATAAATTGTAAAAATCGTTCCGGCGCCTCGGGATCTGAAGGCAAAAGGTGCTTCTGATCGTTGAACATTTGTGCAACGGAGTTGGGTTTAAGACTCGTCTGCATTATCCAACGATATTAAATAGATCCTTTCAAAGACGGTGCTATTACAAAGAAATGAGAGAAAAAACTGAAATGTATCACGAAGATTGCTTCTGAAATCGATCGGCTTTTTCGTGCCTTCGTAATGATTTATTTCGCAATGGTACCGTCTTTATTGTATCGTTTCAGAATTTTCACGAGCAGCAATGCCAACAGGTTTTAAATCCGGCTTTAGTGCCTTTTCAAACAGCGTTCCCACGCAAGAAATTACAAAGATGAACACACTTTTAATAAACAAGCGTGCGTGGGCGCATTTGCAGGACCAGTATAATTATCTCGAGTATGTATCTAAGGCCTTTCGCGATCGGCGCAGCCGATTGGTTGCGCGACTCACGACTAGCCGAAACTGTAGTTCTCGCTGTCAGTGGTGTTTGAATATTTTCTGTGGTATTTTCTCCCGAATAAAAACGAGCCTGGATCCTTTTTTATAGTGCATCGTCAGCCCGTCGACGTTAATTAGCCAGATAGTCGAATTTGTCAAGAGATTAATGTATTGCTACATTGCAATAGAATACCAGCAACACGGCCGAGATAGTTTATTATTTTCCTAATATCGGAATATATCGAACGAGCAGATCTTCGAATCAGATCAAGCATCGAACAAGCTTAATCGATATTTTAGTATCAAACTAGCGACAAGTAACATTATCATATTTACTAAATTACGACATTATGATGGCAAAGTATGCTCCATTTCTGCTGTATTTCCGTTATTACATTATGGTAAATCGTAATGACAGAAATCAAACTAAAGGGGATACAATAGATAGGAATTTGCTGTAAAATCATGACTGAATTTGCTGGCAACTATTGATATATTGCATTTTGGCTATCTGGGTACACAAAATCTAATCTCCCCGTCGAGTATAATATTTTATAAACTCGATGAAATTTTGCACGCGCGAAGGTGCTGACTCGATACTGCCATTGCAAATTTGCACAATTTTTAATCGCGATTCAAGTACCGATTGTACAGAGCCATGACAAAAAAGTTTCTTGCGCATTATGGGAGTAGTCACGTGACCATGTCTGACTTCTCCCGCATAACAAAAAGATCTGATCGAGTTATGTCAATTTTCCTACGGTTGGATCGCACGTCATCGAGTTTAATTTATACATCTCTTTTTTTCTTCTTGACTCGCACGCACTGCGTCGATGAATAAACATATATATAATCGAACGAATCCACCTGCCGTAAACACGATGACGGATCGATCTATACCCGGTGCAGCGAAGACAAGGCAAAAATCGACTTGATAGAACTGTAAACAGTGCCTTCATGATATTGTTAAGCTCAGAGATATTTTAGAGTACACATAAAAAAAAAAGAAAGAAAAGAACGTCGTGGCGGTGTAAATTGTTAATTAATTAAAGAGGAACCAGCGGAGAAGAGAGAAAGGAGAGACTTTAGCGTGTAACAAATTTCACACACACAAGCAGCATGTATATATTCGTTGCTTCGCAAATGAGTACAAGCCTTTGCACATTATTTATGAATAAATGCTTTCATCCGCGTAAAAAACGGGAGCGCGCCGCTCGAATCGACAATTGTAAGCTACAGAAATTTTACCGTCGATCGACGATAAATCGGCCCCCTCCTCCTCCCTCCTCTCCCCCTCCATTATATCCCACGGTATGAATTTTGATACGCAATTTATTTCGCGATCACAACGGCCGATCGTTGACGATCACAATCTTGCAATTGCAGATTCCACCGATGTTCTCGCGCTCAAAAAAACATATTTTACTATTGTACGGTTGCATCATATGTTATCTCCGTTGAACACAGACTAACATAGACTAAATATTGCATCAATGTTATAATTTCCTATTCAGTAATATAACTGTATTATGTATTAGGTATTATATCAACCGATGATCAACCGATTACATTTTATAAATGTAATTGATCGACCACGCATGTCTGCTAGAGAGGGAAATCTAACATACTGATATATATTGATGCAATTTGTAAAATATGAATCATTTTATACTTATATTGTTGAGAAGAAAATTATAATATTGATGTAACGTTACTGTTAGTTTCCGTTTAGCGGGTTTTAACTTTAATATTATTGTCTTCTCTTTGCTATTATGTATACATGTATTATCGATTAGTGTCTAGGCGAACTTTATACATATTGTACATATCAAACGCTATTCTGTTACAAATAAATGTTCAAATCGTATTTGCTTTCCTTTGGAGGATTGGTTCCTGAAAATGTTTATAGCATATATCCTTTGTACCTGGAATATCCAAACAGTATACAAGTTATAACAATGATGTCAAAATGATTACGAAAATGCCATGATTACTGAAAGTCACTTTTTCAGTCAATTTTATTTTAACATCATTTCGATATGATTTGTTATGTTTGTTGGATAAGATCGAGTCGACATGCATCGGTAAGTATTTTTACGTAAAGAAGAGTGAATAATTATTCTCTAAAATATTCCTGTCTTCAATACTTTATAGTATTCAGTCTGTGGATTTGCGAAGAACTTCATACATATTTATTTCATTCGACAGTGAAAGTCATTCTTCGAATGTTATCTCGGGGATTCCGCGTTGCTCGCGTATTGCACCATCGATTCTAGATGCGTCAATAGCATGTTGTCCCGCGTTCCAAGAGCGACGAATAGCCAAGCGAAAATCGCGAGAAGGTCCTTCGATATCATTACCTTCTGCCAGTCGTTCAACTCCTCCAGAAAAGCCTCCTGCGTTGTATTCTGAAAAATCATTGTACATAAGTGCAAATAAAAAAAATTTTAAACACGTCTCTTCGCTATTAGGCTATTAAATCGTTATTATATTCTTACATTTGACCATGTTTCGTTGCTTTGATAATGTATTAGAGCTAATTGATCGTCCATCTTTGACGATGCTTGATGAAGTCCAAACGTTACCAGATAAAGCGGAATGGCGATCGCGGTTTTCGCGTGATCTGTGTAAATCTCGCGCAAGTGATCCACATCAAGCCGCGCTAAATCGAATCTAAAATCATCAATATATCTTCTATAAAATTAACGATATTTAAAATTTTTTTCACTCATCATTATTAGCTCAGATTATGAAATTAAAAGCGAGAAACTACACTGTAAAAATTATAATTAGAAATTAAACTGATGAGAATGAATTAAGAGAATTAAGAGAAATAATTCTATTTCCGATTAAAAGCGGATCTTGATATTTAATAATATTATATGTAAATAATTATATGTAAATTTTTGCAAATATACTTTTTTATAAACTGCCGATGATAAAATATCAAATTAATAACATATAAAAATAAATATGATTCAATTTCTCCCCGAAACAAGAAAAGTTTAATTTAAATACATTATAGTATCATCACATTCTATCGATTGCAAAAGTTTATATTCTTTTGAAAAATATTTCTATTCAAATATTATTTATAAGAATTTTTATTGTATATTTTCTCGCTTCTGATGCTGTAATTTGAGTTAGTAGTGATAAATGAACAGAAGTCTTAAAGGCGAACATTACATTATGTTAAATTTTCTTTTTTAAATATTGAACGTACTTATCGAAGATGGAGATGATGCAAAGAGCGATTAAGAATGAGAATATATTCGCATATATTTCGGAGAAAATCGAGTAATTTGATATGAATTCCATCGAAGTGTTAAAAAAGACATGAATCTGCAATCATGAATCAGATAATATTCATTTTTTAAATTTCTAAATTTATGTTTAAATCAAGGAATGCTTTTGTGGTAGTTGAGAAAAAATGTTTACCATTATGAAATGCAGAAATGCCATACCGCCCAAGAGACCTTGATAGACAAGCCCTGTGCATTTCCAAAATTTCTGCGCAGTGATTGCTACCTTTATGAGCGTATAGGTTCGAGTCTCTGCAGAATCGCAGCCTCCTCCACCTTTTGCACGTGTCGTATCATTTCCCAAAGCACGTCTCGATCCGCCAATTTTCACGGCGCTAAAGCCGCTTCTGCCTTGAATATAAATTGTGTCTGTAGTCAATTCTGGAAGCGGCACAGGTTCTTCGTATTTTGTGCGCGCATTTTCTTGAGCCTTTTTCAAGATCTCGGTGATGGGCACCTCGTCGTCTTCTTGCGTGGAAAATTATTAAATTTACATTATAGATTTTATTTTTATTCCTCGTAAATGTTCAAATTTTTCTAACATGGATCTTTTGCATTAAAATAGCATTTAGTCATCAATTGAACTTTCCCAACTGCTTTAAAATTGAAATTCTTGACTAATCAATCGAAAGATTTTAAATAGATTGTAATATGAAAAAGGATCTTGGAATAAATTTTTTGAGCTTCTTATAATAAGAATGTCATTCTTAAATGTCATTCTTTTTTTACCTCGGGAAACACGCCTTTTTCTTCTTCGCGATTTATCAGTAATGCTACCTTCTCTGTCACTGTAGCGTTTCACAGAAGATCTGATATCTACTCGATCGTGATCATGAAAGGTCTCTGCCGTGCGAGGCCGTGCTTCAAGCTTTCGTCTTTCAGTCCGTTTACTACGTTTTCTCTTCCTTCTAAGAGATCCCGCGATTTTTTCTTCGCTCGCGTGAATGTCTGAATAACGCATTTTTTCTCCACGAATCGAGCATAATTCGGCTTTGCGTGACTTATTATTGCTTTTAGCATTCGGTGATTCGGTCTCCGTGTCTTCAGTGTCATTTTGTCTCCGAGGAAAACTCTAAGATGTTGAATAGTAAACTCAATTATAATTTTTTAACTTTCAGTTACTGTATAAGGGTATGGCATACCTAGAACGTTTGAAAATTGCGCAGCATTTTTAGAAACCGAAAAATGAAGAGACGATGTAAGAGAAAAAAAAAGCGTTCTTGACATAAGTACAGACATTTCCCTATCTAGTTTCATCAGGTTGTGTAAAAAAGTGATAACAATCGCTCTTTTTTATAAAAAAAAAGGAATCGTGTATAATTTCACTTGTTGAAATAAATATACTTGTACAGGAATATTTGACGCGTTTTTAATTAAAATATATATCTTCAATAGTTCATTTAGTTTATTTCTTCATTTTTATTTTTAAATTAAGTACGATTAATATAATTTTTTAGAAAATTTTTTTTTATTTTTCATAATTTTCGCGATAGTTCGAAAAATTCGCTTTTGTTAGTTATTAAATACTTTTTACAATTTACAATTTTCATTTATACAGGACTCTTCTTTAGATTCTTCACATAAATTTTACACATTTACTTTAATCGGTGCATTTTATCGAAAATTAGAGACAATAACGGAGTGTGCTATACTCTCGTACCTAATAAATCCGTGCCATAAGGATTAAATTTAGATAATTGCCTAGTGCTTCTCAACCTAAATAATAAATGATTGACGCAAATAAAATGTCAAGGATTTATTAAATTAATTGTTAATTAGATCAATACAATGTTGCGCTGCTGATGAATAAAATAGCATATACATTGCCAGAGTGAATTAATCATTCATTTTTAAATATTAATTGAATACTAATTACAAATATGCATGACTGAAATATAGTTACAATTACGAATGTAATTCGTGATTACCAAATTACGAATAATTCACACAGTTAATTATTATAGACGCTTTAAACAACTTTTAAATTAATTTTAGTTTTACTCTATAAATAATACTGACTGTTTTAATTTTTCGTTCGTAAGATCGGTTCGACTCTTGTCTCGACTCTTCCGAGCTGGTCCATCGTTTCTGCGACAGCATGCTACCATGTTTCACATAATTATCGTTCTCCACAGTGCGAACAGAAGCTTCATCCTCGCTATCATTTTGCTGGAATTGTTTACCGATAGCCGTAGATCTTCGAGAGGTTCGACTTCCGCGTGTCATTTTAAGATGCATCGAAGCATTAATCGTTCAGCTGTCCTATGGTCGATTTGCGACCATCTCGCAATTAATTTCAAATGCATCCACAAGTCCATATGAATTTTTCTTTTAAACTTTAAAGTAACTGCACAATACGGAACTATTGACTATTGTAAGAATTTCCCTCAAGCGTGTTTAACAATTTAACTTCGCAGTTGACATCATAGGATCGACTGTCGTTCAGTACACCAAAGACTTATATATAAGTCTGTGTTTAGGATCACAAGGTACCCTGTATCCATAGTAACGCTTTGTTGGGATATTAAACTCTGTAGCGACTCAGTTTAATATACATCTGCATGTTTAGTTTTGTTTTAAATTATTCAAAGCGAATCAAGTAAAATATTCAGAATAAGAATTCATATTTAGCCACTTTATTATTGGAAAATAAAATTATTCAATTGAGAAGTGAAATGATTATTCTTATAGTACTTTAGCGTTTTAATCTTAGAATAGTATTTTTTTTTAACAGGATACATCAAGTACCCCATTTTTTATCATAGTATAAAATATTTATATATAAATAATATATGTAGAAGAATTTAATAACAGGTGGTCAATCTTTTCATCTTTTAATAAAAAAAGAATGGTGTTAATGAAATTCGATTTGTGTAACAGGAAATTAATAAAAAAATAATTTAAACGGAGCAAACATTTCTTTTTTTCATATAAAAATATCTCATAAATAAAAAGATTCTTATTTATGGAGAAAATATAAGTAAACAAGAGTACATGCTCTTTAAAATTTTTAGAGTGAATCTTACTCTGAAGAATGAAATCTCAATCTTAAAGATTGATGATAGCGCCATTCTTTTTCAAGACTGGTTCGATTTTCATTCTTTAGAGCGAGATACCAAAAAATTTAAAGAGTGTACATAAATTACAACATTTACAATTTTAGAAATACATAAGACATTTTTAACAATATATGCTTAAGAAGTATGATTTATTGTACTGAATGATAATTTCTACAAGATCTGTATACATAAAATCTTTACAAAAATTGATTTTTCTCTCTGGTAGTAAATAAAAGACAGATTATATCCTACGACAACATCTGCCCAAGTAACTCTATTATAAAATAATTCTTTACGTTAAAATAATAATTTACACTCAGTTTTATTTAGATTTAAGATTAATATTTAGATTTAGATTTAAGAAACTGTATCAATAAGTCTTCATAGAATTTCTAAATCACAATGCCGTATTTCTGGATGATTTTTCTGAAAATCGCGAAAAAATAAAATTGTATTAAAAATTTTTAATTATTATAAATTTATATATCCACATAATATATTACTATATATTATTATATAAAACATATTATATAAAACATATTTGTTTACCTTTAGTTTTAATTCTATTCTGTCAATTTCTCCACCAAGCATGTCTACGATATTTTCGCCGTGTTTTAATAAAAATGTCTCTAATTCATCAATAGTTTGCATACTTTTTACTTCCTACAAAAATATTTGATGTTTATCTCATCTGATGTAATATCTCATCTTTCAATAAAAATAAGAATATAAAATCTATACCTCCAACATTGCAATAAGATCATGTTTATCTAAATAAGATCTTGTAAGTTCTCGTCCATCAAAATCCAGTTCGGCTTTATATCTCACTAAATTATTACCCATGTCAATGCCTTTCACATCATGAATCGCACGAACCTGCGAAATGTATAAGAATTAAAAGATTTAAAATATCGATTGAATATTATATATTTGATTTTAAGATTAGTATTACCATTATATCTGCTTCTAGCTCAGCATTAATTTTATCGAGATTCTCTTGCGATATACTTCTTCCTACAAGTGCAGCAACGTTCGAGTAAATTATAAAAGATGCCACTCCACCGAGCAGACCACCAACCAGAAGCGAACCGATAGCGTCAAACATTGGATTTTCTAAATATGAGGTCAAACCCATACATCCAGCTGCGACAATGACTCCAAGCACCTAACAATTACACAAAAATCTTTTTGAATGCATAATTTAACAAAAAGTAAGAATAACAACTTACAGCTGCAAAATCTTCCATGAGCACAACGTTCACGGATGGATCTTGTCCTTCTAAAACAAACTGTTTAAAACTTTCCTTTTTTTCTTCTGCGCCTCTCTTTATAGAGTGTAATGCTATCATTAAAGTCGCTCCTTCAGAGAGCAAAGATCCACCCAAAACAAAATATGCCCAGAAGAGAGTATCTAATGGCGCAGGAAAAAGAAGGCCATGAATTCCATGATAAATGGAAAGACCCGTACCAACACAAAAGATTCCCACACCCGATATCAATGAGGAAACATACTTCATGTTTGAATAACCATATGGGTGATCAGGATTAGGATGCTGCAAAATAATTTGTATAAAATAAATTGAAAATAATTTGAAAAAAATCCTAAAATTATTCGTATTATTTATTTACCTGCACCGATTTATGAATGCCATATGCTAGAATCAATTGATTACAAGTATCCGCTGCAGAATGTACACACTCGGAAAACATACTGTGCGAACCAGTGTATAACCAAGCAATTAACTTGCACAAAAAATTACTAGCATTTCTAGAAAAGAAAAAATTAATCGAGAAAATTTATACAGTTACTTGATACGCATAAATGTAATACATACATAGCAATTGCAGTTAATACTACTTTGCCAGATCTTCCAAAAAGACCTTCCTTCTGAATTATTTCCGTTTTACTGCCAATTTCTCGTCTGTAATCCCTCAATCTCCGTTTGACCGTAAAAACATCTGTGACGAAAAGCTTGTGTTTCAATGTTTGTTAATTTTATTTTATTATTACAGGATATTCCTATCAGACTAACAGAATATGTGAATGATCCTGTAAGATGGACAATTTCTAAGATATAAATATTCTTTGTCTTGATAAGATTCTCTTTTATAACAACAAATACTTATATACTTTGAATTAAGTAAACAGATAAAAGTATATGAAGATATACATATTTACTTTGCTGATAGATCTTCCGTTCAACTTCTTTCTTCAAAAGTTCTTTTAACAAAGCTTCTTTGGATCCCCAGACTTCTAAAGCTCTACAAAAAAGCGAAACTTTAAAACATTCAATTATTTAAATAATTTATAATAATTTATAAATAATTTTCATTACAAATATATAGAAATTTATCAAATCGGTTCTCTTACTTAGCCTCGACATCTTTCCTCCAATAGACTGTGATAGGTGGTTCAAGTTCATATGGAGAACGTCTTTTTGTTTTTGGCAAGATCTCCAAATCAGAAGGCTTTAATAGAAAATCTGCCATAGCCCTCACAGGTGTAATAAAATTACGTTCCAAAGAAGACGTCGACTTGTCAACTCTGACTTTCTTTTTTGCTATAAATCAAAAGATTATTATTTTGAACTTAACTCTATCTATATTGTTATACCTTTTTTTGAGATAATATCATCTTTCAATGATTCTTTGGATTCTGCAGACTGTTTGTCAACAAGTTTTGCTGTCTGTCCTTCCTTCTTCTTATCAGAAATAGCTGGTTCTACATCTAATACTCTCTCTTTTAATTTACCTAGCTTCTCTTCATTTAATTCTATTATTCTCTGTTGAACTTCTTCAACTAGTTTTGTTTCTTTATTTTTAGACTTTGCATCATCAGATAGAAATCTTGTCATGCAAGTCCATTTGATATCCCTGTGCCTGCTTACCTTTCTATTAGCAAAAACTTTTTGAGAATTCGAAAAAGTATGTACTTTGTATTGTATGTCATACTTGGGTACTATTAAAATACTGGCATGTCTTCTAACTAATCCAATTTGGAATATGCATAATTGATTGGTATGATACCGGCATGTTACGTTTCGAATAAAGTTTATAAAATTATGGGATCGATGAAACATCCTTATTATTATCTTCTTTTTTTCTCAAATGTACATTACTTAACCTAAAAGAATAAATCGATTTTAAATATTTCCATTATAAAGAAATTTTTAATAATTATAGACTAATGAAACAGTATAATGATGTTATCTTCAGAAATTGTTCAAATGATAATATAATAAAAAGTTGTACGTACACGATATATTTGTTAATATATTAGAAGATTCACTATGAAATCATTTATCCTTCCTTTTTCAAGCTTACTACCTACATTAAATACACATTGCTAAACAGCTGCAAGACATTACATTATTATTGTGAACAAATTAATTACAATTGAATTGTTCTAAATCTAATGACAAGAAAACGAACTGTCACCAACATTATACTTGTTCTGTCTATCATGGACGGCATGGATATGAAAAATGAAGTAACGTTGCCGCAGATGTGCAGTGGACGACCAATCCAGGAACTGATTTCTAACTTTTCATTTACCGATCAAATATGGCTGATTGATTATCAAACACTGATGATAACATTAAAATCACAGTTTTAAATAAAAGTCAAGTATTTTATTGAGTTTTAAACATACATGTTTACAAATCTAATAAATTATAAAATTAGTATATTAGTATACTATATTATCAATTTTTTTACTGTTAATCACTTAAATTTTCACAGTCACGCTTGCTTCCGTAAGATCGGTTGTCTTTAATAGTATATTAGTATCTTATCAATGCCGTCGATGATTGGCGTTAGTGCGCGGAAGATTAAATACGAAAAAAAAGCCGGCATAGACGTTCTAAGCTTAATTTTGATACATAGCATCCAATAGCAAACTGTCAAACTGAAAATACGAAAGAACGACGAGAAAATTCTATTTCATTCACTCACAATCATTAAAGGCTGAAGGCTCATGAAGTTATGAATGCGAGAAAGACGGACTTATCGCTGTCTCGCTCGCTTCGCTCGGTGGGGGAAAATGGAGATGCTGATTCAGCTGATTGTTGAATTGCTCTGCTCTGGGTGGTCAAATGTGCATCACTAGGTGCGTTCTACTTAACGCCCGCAACGCTCGTGGAATCATTTTATTCTTGTTGTTTATCAAATATTAAACAAGGACCAATGATGCTCACAAGCGTTGCGAATATTAAATGGAACGCAGCTACTGATAAAGGGTAGCATTGCAATTGAATCGTTGACTGTGTTATAGTTGTTCTTCTATATTCATTTTACGAGAAGCAGGAGCCATAATATAGAAGAAGAATCATGGATGGTGGTCAATCAAAAGATACGGATCCGCAGTTTATATCCTTCCACGATTTCCCATCGATGAGTCATGCTGAAAACTCGGAGGGACAGCTGGGCACCGGGGCTTCTACTCATCAGCCCTTTAATAACCTTTCAAATGATTCGATGGGTATCGGCATGATAGAAGATTTACAAGGAATGCCTACTAAAATCGAAGGTTTATGTAGCTTCTTAGAGAATTTCTCAGTTTCATTTCCTGTCGATAGACAATCATTGTGATTTAAACGAGAATATGTCGTTTCTTCTTAGATACTGCTCAGAACAACTTCTGGACAATTGAGTATTACCAAAAATTCTTTAATGTTAACACAAACGAGATCTTGGAGAAGCTCATGCATTCCATGATACCACATGGTAACGACAATTATTTTATAACGCACATAAAGCCAAATCCAGATTTATATGGGCCTTTCTGGATAAGCGTGACTCTGGTATTTGCTATCGCGATTAGCGAAAACGTAGTAAACTATTTGCAGACTGCTAATTCTAGCAAGTATCACTGGAGATATGATTTTCATATTGTAACGTACGCAGCTACTATTATATTTCTCTATGTGTTGCTTGCACCATTATTCCTATGGGGTGCATTAAAGTGGCTCAACAAATATCATACATCAGAAGAGGAATTGATTCAGGTTTGCTATTAAGTATTTTTCTTTGTTTTAAATCTCTAGTATATATATATATGGAATATTCATTTCCCCTTGTAATTCTTTGTTTTTTTTCTTTGTTTTTTCAGTCTTATCCCGTCCCAGGACTCTTAGACCTTTTGTGTCTGTATGGATATTCCTTAAGCATTTTTGTACCAGTAGCATTCCTGTGGATAATTCAAATTGGCTGGTTACAATGGAGTCTAGTCATACCGGTGACGGTTTTATCTGGAGGAGTTTTACTACGATCATTATTACCAGCATTTGAAAGTAAGATACATATTTATCTTTAATATCTATATATATATATATA